GTTCTGCACAGGCTGTGGGTGCCCAGCGCAGCACCCCGAGGTGGGGCAGAGCCCCTCTCCATCTGCCCCATGGTCAGGGGGTCCTGCTCAGCACAGAAAGAGCCTCTGGGTTAATTCCCATCTATTTTTCCCCCCTCTCTGTGTGCCAGGATGCCCGGGTACCCCCAGGCTGGAATTGGGGATCAGATCCTYGCCCCACCTGGCCCGAGCCCAGCCCCGGAGGGCTGAGCCTGCTCTCTGCACACAGCAGCTCAATTAACCTCATTTTCCTTGGCGCAGGGCCAGCGCAGCACCCAGCGCTGCAGCAGCACTTCCCATCATCCTGACTCCATTATTTTCCTTTTATTCTTCCCTCTTTTTCCTCTTTTGCCTGAAATTCCTGCAGCTGGCGGGGAGAAGCCGGGGTGCCGCAGCACGGCCCGAAAACCCCAATTAAGTCTCTTATAAAAACATTTGTGACCTTCCCTTCCTTCYCTTCCTTTCTGGGTCTCTCACTCTGCAAACAAAAGGAGGAGCCAGCGATTTCCTTATCAGAGGGGCGGGAAGGGGAGGGGGGGAGCAAAAGCCCCCGAAGATGATGGCACCAGCCCAGCCTGAAAAGCTCCAAAGCGAACCAAATAGTGGAGTTTAATCATCCAGAAAGAATTTGGCCGCCTTTGCTATTTCAAAACACTGGAGCACGGATGGCTTTTGCCAGAAAGTAAACAAGACCAAATGCTGCCCTGTCCCTCTCCGTGCAGCTCCTCTCGAACAGGGAAATTCGGATTTGCTGCGCTCTTTAGCTCTTTTTTTAAAAATTTTTAACAAATTTTTTGATGGGAGCTGCAGGAGAAAGGAAATGAAAGCCAAGCAGAAAGTTGGATTCTGCTGGGTTTTTATTCCTTCCCGTTGAACCTGGCTGCCCTTCAATCCTTGCTCTGTGCTGACACTTGCTGGAGGCAGCGGGGCAGGGCAGGGGCAGCCGGGATGGAGGGATGGAGGGATGGAGAGGAAGGATGGGGTGATGGAGGGATGGAGGGATGGAGAGAGAGATGGAGGGATGGAGAGCAGGGATGGGGGGATGGAGGGATGGAGAGAGGGGATGGAGAGCAGAGATGGGGAGATGGATGGAGGGAGGGATGGAGAACAGGGATGGAGAGATGGAGGGATGGAGAACAGGGATGGAGAACAGAGATGGAGGGATGGAAAGAGGGGGTAGAGAACAGGGATGTGGACATGGAGAACAGGAATGTGGAAATGGAGAACAGGGATGAAGGGAGGGATGGAGGGATGGAGGGATGGAGGGATGGGATGGAAGGAGGGATGCAGGAATGGAGAGATGGAGGGATGGAGAGCAGGGATGAAGAACAGGGATGGAGAGCGGGGATGGAGGGATAGAGAGCTGGGATGGAGAGCAGGATGGAGAGATGAAGAGCAGGGGTGGAGAGCAGTGATGGAAAGCAGGGATAGAGGGATGGGGAGCAGGGATGGAGAGCTGAGGATGGAGAGCAGGGATGGAGAGCAGGGATGGAGGGATGGACAGCAGTTATGGAGAGATGGAGACCAAGGATGGAGGGATGGATGCAGAGATGGAGAGGGAGATGGAGGGATGGATGGACAGCAGGGATGGACAGCAGGGATGGAGAGATGGAGACCAAGGATGGAGGGAGGGATGCAGGGATGGAGAGAGAGATGGAGGGAGGGATGGATGGACAGCAGGGATGGAGAGCAAGGATGCAGGGTCAGATGAGGCTTTCAACACCAGAGCCTGAGAAGAGTTTAGGGTGACCCCAAAGCTGCTCCCACAGGAGCCAGCTGCTCATCTACGGGTTTTTACAGGATCTCACCCCTCAGGAGAATTGTTCCTGGTTGCCACAGGTGAACTCAGCCCAGCTGCTCCTTTATCTCTGACCCAGTGCTCCATGTGGAGCTCCTCCCAAAACATCCCCCTGACACCTTCTGGAAAACATTTTCCAGGTGTATTGGGAGGTTTCTTTCCTGCCTCTTCAAACTCACGAGGGAAAAAAAAAAACCAACCCTAAACCTCAATTTTCTAGAGTACCTGATAGATCTGATCTGAAGAGATGACAAAATATTTAGATTGAGGGGGCTGCAGTAACATCATCCCGACGTTGATTTCCTGCGTTCACAAAGGAAATCACAGCGTGTAGTCTGCTGGGGAAAAAAAAAAAATCATTTCACAAACACCTTGCAATTGGATTGCTAACTTTTTGTTAAGCTCTTTAGGGCCGGGAGCAGCTTTTCCCTCAAGCTCCAGTGCTGTCAAGGCTGGACAAGCTCCAGGATTTGCCTTTTCCCCGGCTCTGAGCGAAGGGAGAAGGTTGTGGTGGGGCGGGTGACCCTGTGCTGAGGGTGAGGGCTGTTCTGCTGAGCCCTGGGGGATTTAAACACAAATTATTTGGCTTTTCCACATGCCCTCTGCACCCCTGGGAGATGTCACCCACAGGGAGTGGAAACCCTCCAGCTCTGGGATGTTTCAGTGTGGCAGCAAGAGCTGAAATATTTAAGAACAGATCAAGCACCGTGCTGTTCCCTGTGGTCAAAATGACTTTGAGGATGTGTCTAATCCCATTTTTTTCCTTCCTCTCGCTCAGGGAATGCTGGTGGAAGGCCCCCCTGGTCCCGAAGGCCCAGCAGTAAGTGATATTTTCCCCCTGCTCCGGGATGGGATGCACAAGGAGGGCTCATCCCAGGGCTCTGGGGCTCCCATCTGTCACACACCTGCACGGGGAGGGCTTTGGGGTGGATTTGCTGGTGCAAAAAAATAAACAGAAAGCAAAAAAATAAACAGGATCCTTTCCTGCTCCTCATAGAAACCTGCCACAAATAATAACACATTTTCCTGGCTTCGTTTTTTCCCATCTTTTCCTCTGCCAGGGCCTTCCAGGACCTCCAGGACCRACCGGACCCGTGGGTTTAATGGGTGACCCGGGTGAGAGGGTGAGTGTTGTCCGTGGATTTTCCTCCTCTTTCCTGRAGTTTTGGGTGGATTTGTGTGGGTGAAATGGGGCTGGGGGGCGGATCCCTGGAGCTGTAAAATCCTGTTCATCCTGGGATGAAAAATTTCACCAGGGCTGAAAAATAATCGTGCACAGAGAGACATTGGATGAATTTTAAGGCTCGAACCGTGAGCTGCTGGTCCCCTGCCCTCCGAGGAGCCCACACAAACACTCCCGGGTTCCAGTTGAACCATTCCAATAAAATATTGCCCAGGGTTCACTCTCAGCCCGGCATTTCTCAGCTCTGCACCAAACGCGGGCTGAAGACAGATCAGCAAATCCCCATTTCCATAGCGAGCGCCCGCAGATTTACACCCAGCTCCTGGCAGGGCTGCATTTCTTGCAGGCATTCATGAATTTAAATTTCCATAAAGTGCTTTACGGGCTCGATTTGCCTCCTTTCCGTGGCTCTCCCACCCTGCTGGTCCATTTTGTTCCTCCCCCACCCATCCTGAGACAAAAAAGAGGCGTTTATGGATAAAAGCACGGCATCAACGCTTGTCAGGGGAGATAAACAGGCTGAGCGCTGCTCCTCGACAGGCAGGGCTGCAATTGGAGGAGGAAGGGGAAGGGAAGAAAGTTTATTATGTTAAATAAGCCTGGCCTAAATTATTTATGGCGTTTCTGCTCCGACAGGTGGGTCTGGGATGGGGTTGGAGTCTCAGTAGGGTAAGGGATGGGGTGTGAGCTGAGTGTGGGTGTCCCACCAGAGCCTGCCCGGAGGAATGGATGAAGGGATGTGCTGGAGTGTTCTGCAGTCCCCCTGGGCACGGCTGGGATTGTTCCCTGGGAGGTTTTTTTTTATTTATTTTTTTTTTTTTTGCTGATCCATCACTGCTGCAGCGCTGAGAGCGGCGTTGGTATTCCAGGCTGGTCACGGTGCAGAGCTGGGCTGGGGCTGTGCCCTGTGCTTGTGGGGCTGGGGACAGCACAGCCCTGTCCTTGTGGGGCTGGGGGCATCAGAGCCCTGTCCTTGTGGGACTGGGGACATCAGATCTGGGGACACTACAGCCCTGTCCTTTTGGGGTTGGGGACACCCCATCCCTGGCCAGGCCAGGGCAGTGGCAGCTCCTCGCCCCCTCCCAGGGCTGGGCTCTCGTTTGGGGCTGGAAACTTCGGTGTGAAGGGTTTGGGGAAGCAATAAAGGAATTAAGTTGGACATGGAAAAAGAAGGAGAAGATGTGGGATGGGGAAATCTTTCTGGAAGGGTAAAGGGGCAAGGATAATGCACCTTTGGTTTGGTTTGGTTTGGTTTGTTTTGGTTTGGTTTGGTTTGGTTTGGTTTAGTTTGGTTTGGTTTGGTTTGGTTTGGTTTGGTTTGGTTTGGTTTGGTTTGGTTTGGTTTGGTTTGGTTTGGTTTGGTTTGGTGGTCTGTTGGATTTTTAGGAATTTTGACCCTTTTTGTCTTTCCCGCCTCCCTTTCCCACCTTTATCCATCTCCCTGTGCCTTGTGGGGTGAATTCGTGAGTTCCTTGCTTTTTGGTGTCCCCATGGCTGAGATTTGGGGCAATATTTCCCTTTTTCTGGTGCCTGAGCAGGTTGGGGAGACCAAGAACTTCATTGCTTCTCTATAAACCAATTTATTATCGTTGTTTATTAAATAAAGGGATACCCAAATCCACAATGCCGAATTTTTGGCCACAGATTGAACACCAGAGCTGCTCCTGGCCTTGCTGGGATGCGGTCAAATCCCTGAGAAAATCACAATTAGCCACACCCACTGATGTCACCCTTATTTACATACAGGATCGCTGGGATGATGAGTAAATCCGGGTTAATCTGGACATTCTGCCGAGTGCTGTTGGGAGCACGGATAATCTCTGGGCTGCCTGGGGAAAATTGGCCATATTTGATAATTTATGGCTTCATCCATAGATCTTTCCCTGCTCTCCCGTTGCTCAGTGCCAGTTAAAGACGMTCCACTGATGTTAATGAGCAGCTCCATGGAGATCCAAGGGCTGGGCTGATTTACAGCCCCTGACAGCATCACTCCAGTGCCAGTGGAAGCAGCCTCAAAGGGCTAAAAATTAAAATAAAAAAATTAAAAAAGACAGAAGAGAGAAAAATGAAATGACCCAGCTGATCGAACGTGTGCTGRAATGAATTTATCCTCCTTCGTTTCTCTCTCACTGACCCTGAGTTGTGAAGTTTCATCAATTTTTTTTTTTTTTTTAATGGGTTTTAACAGAGCTAAGCATTGATTTCATTGATATGGTGCATTCCAGGGCTTTGATTGCTTATTCCAAAACTGCACGTGGCAGACCCTGGAAATGGAGGGGGGCAGGATGGAAATGAAGGAATTAATAAAATTAATAAAAATTGTGTGTTCTCATGGATGTTCTTCCTCAAAACTCGCCCTGGCATTGGGATGCCCCCAAGCCCCATCCCTGTCATGACAATATCGTGATATATCCACAGCTGCTGATGGATGGGCACAACTAAAACAATATTTTAGAGGTTTAATTTATTTTCTTCTCCTTTCAGGGCCCACCTGGGCGYCCAGGTCTCCCAGGAGCAGACGGATTGCCAGGACCACCAGGGACGATGCTCATGTTGCCCGTGAGTACAAACAGAACTTTCAAAACACATGAAAATTAATCAAGTTTGTGGTTTTGCTGCTGTTTAATGGCTCTTCTTGCAGAATTTCCCATCTCCTTCACCCCAAGGACACATTTTCCTTGAGGTGAAGGATGGATTTGGGTGATTCCCCGTGTAAATTGATTTTTTTTTTTTTTGCAAAGCACTGGAACCCCTTCACTGGTCCAAAGCACAGACACTCAGGTTAAAATTTCCAGAATGATAAAACCATGGAATACCCCAAGGTGGAAGGGGAATTGTGAAATCCAGATCCTGGCACTGCAATCCCAAAAATCCCACCCTGTGCCTGAGATCTATGAGTACATGGATCCAAAAGTTCAAACTTTTCCTGAGTTCTGAACGAGCTGAAATGTTTCTGGCTGGACAGAGAGGGAGAAGAGCCGTGAAGAAGCAGCTGAAGGAACCCCCAAGAGCCAAATTTCCAAGCAGAGCCCTCTAAGAGCTTTTTAAAAGTTTCAACATTTCAACCACCTGGACTAACCCAGCTCTTTTAATGACCAAGGGTTATTTTGAATTTGAATTGTTCCACACAAAACCAGTGAGCCCTGAGTCAGTCTGGTTGGTCCTGGAATGTTGAAGAAATAGTTTTTTTTTGGATGGGAGGCAGCCCTGCTGCTGGAAATAAACACTTGGAGAGCAAAGGGAAGGAGTTTTTAGGGGAAAACCTCAGCACGCTTGTGCAGGCTGAGAAATCCCATCTCCTGGGAGAGCCCTGGGCATCAGGAATGGCAGATCTGGGAATGCCAGCCCTGGGAATGCCAGAACTGGGAATGGCAGCACTGGGAATGGCAGCACTGGGAATGCCAGAACTGGGAGAACTGGGAATGCCAGCCCTGGGAATGCCAGCCTTGGGGAGCACTGGGAATGTCAGAACTGGGAGAACTGGGAATGCCAGCCCTGGGAATGCCAGGCTTGGGGAGCACTGGGAACGCCAGCCCTGGAAATGCCAGCCCTCGAAATGCCACCAGGGAATGCCAGCCCTGGGTGTCCGTGGTGGGTGGGAGGT